AAAAAAAAGACTTTAGAATGCCTGACCCATGCAAACACCCAAAATACAATACTTATTAGAGTTCTGTGGCCATTAGCCACAAAAAAATTAGCTGGCTATATTGCTGTGATTCTCATTTGCTGAATCTCAGGAATTTGCATCCATATCCAAAGATACAGCAGAAAACCATTAAGGAACTCAACTAATGTTTTGCATTGCTTAAAAATCAGGTGCTTCTCAAATAAAACACAAACCAGATAATTGGCTCTAAAAATGGTATAGGTTGAAACTGGATAATCTGTTTTCCAAATTTCTTTCAAGAGGCTAGGAAAAGACAAAAGAATTGAAAACTCCCAAATATTTCATAGCAAAATAGGGCTACTACATTTAATCATCCAAATCGTGAAAGTTAAAAATAAAGCAACTGGGTGGTTGGACTAAGGTACAAGACCACCCAATAAAGACACACTCATTTCCTGAAACAGATATTTGAGTACAACAACTAGTAAAAAAAGTCTAACCCTATATAAAATGTCACTATATTGTAAGGCTCATAAGTAAGAGTACTAGAACAATGGATACTTCCAACAACAGCAATGCCTACTAAACAGACGACCTGAAATGAAAACCTATACTGAGTAGAAAATATCTGGACTAGATCTGAACACAGGAAAAAAAATCGTAATAATAAAATGGAGAAACCGATTATCTGAGAAGAGCGTGTGCAACTCCCACGGCGAGATTCAGAAAGATGTTGTTTTTCCCCTCAAAAAAGAAAAAGCCTTAATGCCCAGAATGCTACAATCCAGAATCATGAGTGTCAGCAAACAGATGTAAAGAAAATAAAGGCGGTATCTCGGTAAGCAATGACCCGAATTCTCACGGGAAGAAAAGCAGCCAAAGCTTAGTGCACAGAACACGGAATCCAGTTTTAGGCCTGCATCAACTCAGGAGGCAGTTAACCATTTTCCAGTAAGCTCGAAAGCTCCATTTAAAACGGACTTAACATCTCGAAGAGGGGCTCTTGAAAACCCACGGAACACAGACATTGGGGAGTCAAAGGATTTGGGGGAGGGGGGAAGCGGTAGAAATGGGTCCAAAAAAAGCCTTCTCCAAGATAAAATCACGTGACTTTCGGGCAAAGAATGCTCAAGGAGCTAAAAGGGAGGAAGGGGCCTGGGGAAGGGCCCTCCACTCCGACAACCGGGGAGCACGGACAATGCACTCGAGGACCGGGAAGGGATCGAATCCCGAAGCCCCCGCGTTTGAGGACCCCAGGACTCCAGCCGGGTTCCTACCCACGCACCAATCTGGAACCACCATGAGGGGGCACTGTCTCCGCGCCCGCGAGCGGGAAAAACGGCAGCCGGACCGGAAGAGGGCAGAGCTAACCGCGAGGGCGCCCCGCCCGGCACTTACGCGGCCGCTTCTTCCTGAGGCTTTCCAAGCGCTGGCGGGAGACCAAGGTAGTGCCGCTGTAGGAGCCGGGCCGGTCCCGCCTTACACCCTCCGCCGAAGCCGAGGCTGAGGCCCCGACCGCGGGTGCCGACGCGCTGTTCGCCCGGCGCCGCAACGGCTCCTGCCGCCGCCCATCGAGCCCCCCGGGCGCCGACTCACGGGTCGACGAGGGGGAAGTGGCGGCGGCCCTGCCGTGGCGCTCCATGGGCCCGCCGAACCGGCCCGCTCCCATTCGCAGCAGCCACCGCTGCCGCCCGAGCCAGGCCCCCAGCGCAGGACCCCCTCGATGCCGCCTCCGCGGCAGTCCAGCTGGAGCAGAGGCGCACCCTCAGCCAGCCACCTCTTCCGTTGCGCCAATGCACAGCAAGCCAATTCCAGCAGGCGGGGGGCGGCCCGAAGTCCTCGTGTCCAATCGGCTCCCTGACTCGAGGCGGACTGACCGCGCCCCCGTCCAATGAGGAGCTCCCAGGACAGAGCCGGGGTGGAGGGTGGCGGGGGAAGGGATCCCAGGTNCTGACTCACCCGGGAAGAGCGCAATGATGGCACCAACATGGGCCAGTGAAGCAACATCCTACACAACTAGACTGAAGAACAAAAGGACAGCAACTTGTCTGTTCCCCTTCCCTGATTCCCCAGCGCTGTTCCCCTCCACCAAGTCCCCAATAATTTTTTTTTTTTAAAAGCATCTTCTTCCATTTTGTCTCTCAAAAATGAGTTACACAGCAACAGAAATCTAAATTTTTTCCTAAGCTCCCAGTGGGCAGCCCTTCCTAATTCCCTAACTGAAGATGTAACACTGCATCTGATAAAGGGCAGTCTCCCAGGGCCCCGGCACCAGTTCCATTCTGCCAACATCGATACTCCACCAAAAGCCAAGGAAAGGCAATCCATTTTCTAGTTTAGTATTTCCAAGCTACAAACAAAAGCTTTATTTTCTAAACAAATGGAGGTTAAGAATATTCCATGATTGGGATGAGCCCAATAAGTCCCAAACATCTTCCAGGCAGCTACAACACGTTTGAGAGTCACCTTGAAAGATCCAGCTCATCGCCACACTGCCCTGGAGCACTCTGATCCCAGGGTTTCCACACCTCCTGCACATCTGCTACACATCTGGGGCCCTTGATTGAAATGCATGTTCTCCTGTTACATGAGTATATACATTTGTCAAAATTGTACATTTTAATGTAATTATGACTCATTTAAAATGTTTTAGATTAAAAGATGCATGTTCTTAGACCCTTTTGTAGATGTGAAGGGTTTTTTTAAGCTTCTGAGTGATTCCATGTCAGACCATTGCTATGGATTACATTATGTGTACCTTCCCCTATTCCAAGATGGGGAAAGTCAAGAACACTGGGTCTGAGCTCAGACACCCAAAATCAAAACACAGCTCCATTACTAACTCACTATATGTGCTGGGACAAAGGGACAATTTCACTAAGTCCGTTTCCTAATCTGGAAACTGGGAATAAAAAATACCTACCTCACAAGATTAATTCTGAGACTTAAATGAGACTTTCATAAAATATTTGGCACAGTGTCTAAACACAAACAAGTAAGCACCCTATTACCATCATTAGCATACTTGTTTCCATTATTTTAAATCA